GTGCTACTATGACAGCAAAGGTCCCATGGAAAAAAGGCAAAACCCCTGGCATCTAAGTGACCACTTGTATTTGTCCTGTGTTCTCAATTTCTTGGCAATATGAATTAACTGCCACTTGGAGCCTCAGGAAATTATAATCTAGAGGACGAACACAAATTAATCACACAACCAGGACAGATGGTATAGTACATGATTTATTTTTGTGTGTGTGCCTAGAATCAAACTCATGACCTGGCACTTGCCAGGCAGGTGCTGTGCTGCTAAGCTGTATCCCCAGCCCTATCTGATCTTTCATTGCAACTGTTGCTCAAAGGAGGTGGTGTTTTAGCGTGTGTTGACAGGATGGACAGTCCATGGAGAAAACTGATGTAAGTTATCAGATGTAAGGTATCAGATGCAAGATGAAAAAGCATTTCCTATGTACTGATAGTTATCAAGTTTTTTTTTTTTTTTTTTTGGTACTGGGAGTCGAACTCAGGACCTTGTGCTTGCCAGGCAGGCACTTGTGCCACTGAGCTATATCCCTTGGCTGATAGTTATTAAATTCTAAATATAGGAAACTGAAAGACAGTATCAGATCAAACAAACCACCTGGACAAAAGATTTTCTGTTCAATTAGAAAACATGGATTAATAAAAGTAACATTCTGATTATGGTTAAAAGCAATATAAACACCATTTTTATTTTTTAGTCACTTTATATTCTCCAACAGTTATTTAAAAATTTTTCTAAGTAAAATCATGTCACTTTTGCATATACAAAATCATTAAGGATGTAGGTTATGGTATTAAAAGTTGTCAAATAACAATTTATGTTAAAAATAATGTTTGTAGGTATTTTTATTACTGTCACCTAATATATGTGTCACAGTGATTGCAAGGAAGTGCTAAGTAAATGTATAGCTAAAAAGACTATTGAAAAATATTTTACAACCATATGACTCTCAAAACATGTCATAAATACCTTTGTTTACATTTATTCCAAAACCTTCTCAAAGTCAGCACACCATAATGATATTAAAAATGACCTTCTAAAATGCTTAGTGTATTGATAGTGGGCATAATAAATTCAGAAGGGTTATTTTGGCAGGAGAAATACATTTAAATGGAGTTGTCTGGTAGAGCTAGAGGTGATATATGGAGGTGATCTACCACCGAAGTGAATACTCTTACAACTTTGGTTGTGAGACTATAAAAACACCAGAATTTTCTCCAAAGACGACCAGTAGGAAAATCCCATGTGAATGGCACCTAAATAAGTTAACTTGGTAGATTGAATGAAGGTACTAAAGTTCCCATATAAACTATTCTTTTCTAAAATAAAAGTAAAAGCCAGTATCAATACCAAGTAAAGCACACATGTAATAATTTTAAAGGAGTAATATTACATGTGTGCTTTACTTGGTATTGATACTGGCTTCTATCTATCTATCTATTCATCTATCTCTATCTGTCTAGATATCTAGCTAGCTAGCTATCTATCTGTCTGTCTATCATCTATCCATATCATCTATCTATCTATCATCTATCTATCTATCTATCTATCTATCATCAATCTATCATGACAGAGAGAGAGAGAAAAAGACAGAGAGAGGGTTGGGGAGAGAGAGAAAGATTACTTGTCGATAGTGATAAAATTAATGCTAAAATAAAGTAAGATTCACTAAAGAGATTTAGGGAAATATCACACATCTGACATTCCAAAGAGAAATATAATTGTCTAAAACACACCTGCTTTGTATCTGGTGTTCTTTTTTCTTAGTAATCTAATCCCATTATTTTAAAGTTGAGTAAATGTGTTTTTCAGGCTATTTTGCTTCATGAGGTTCTTGCTCAGTAGACTGTGAGCCCACCTGGTGGAGGTATATATTCCTCTCAAAATGTAATTCTTCAGACTCATAAATTTCACAGAACATTTGTTTTAGTTTGCTTTCAGGAAATAAAAGGTACTAGAAAAAAGGCTCTCCATAATATGCATTTGGTTTATTATTTTTCTTGCTTTACCGCCATGTGAGGCCACTCAGGATATATTTGCTGTCTTCCAGAATGATACAGCTCCACTTAGAGATGCATGCACATTCCAGCCCAGTGCATGTCATGTCTCTTGGTCAGATTGATCCCCACGCAGGTGCTCCCTCATACTGTGTAAAGACCGTAAGTAGAAATGTGACAAAATATAGCATACCTCCTTCCTCCAGATTCATGGGTTTAATAGAGTAATCTGTACTTTCCTCACTTGCTATAAAAATACTCCCTGCCAGTGCATAAGGAAGAAAATTAAAAATAAAATTGATCATTCTAAAGCCATCCAAATATATAGACTCACATTTAGTAGCCTAAAAGTACTTTAAAAGCAATACATAACATGACCGTGAATCTAGAACTGCTAAAAGGATTTAGTCCAATGACAAAGCCACACCCCTCTCTGAAACAACTTACTTGGGCTCTATCCCTCTCTATAAACTACTATAACAGGCAGAATTCTCTTCTTTTCTTTACAGAAGTAATAACAATTTATGATTTCATTTAATAAAAATCCCTTCGATGATTTCGGTGCTTTTGGATACTTGTCTCCCACTTTGATTTTAATGCTCCAGTAAAATGTCAAAGGCAATATAAACTTCCACAAATATAATAATTCAACCAGCCTATGACAACAAAGACATCAGGGCATGTTTATAAAAAAACTCCAGTGTTAAAGTGTTTGGCCAACTGGCCCCCCTTAAACCTATGTCCACTAGGAATGGAAACTATGTACAGAACACCCATTGCTCACTTCCCTGAACATACAGCCCTGTCAGAAAAATGGCATTTCAAGGTTGAAGCAAAGGAAAGCTAACCTAAAAAGTACAAAGAGGCAGAAATGACCAAATATATTTAAGATTTGCCCCTTGGTTTTAAAACTTATTTTTATTAGCTTCATTTAATTTTCTTGACATTAAATTAGAAAGTGCAGTGGATCAAAACAAAGAGCCATGAAAGGATACAAGAAATAGGAAAACAGAGTGCAGATCTCAGTCACTTGTTCACTAGCTTTTATTTGGGACTGCTGTTTTAATACCTGAATTAACTGTGGTCTGTTTCTCACTACTCCTTATTTGGAACGATTGCCCGCTCTGTTCTGCAGTTTCCGGTCATTTTGGCTTGATGGTGACTATTTTGTTTTATGTTGCTATATTACATGAATAAACCAATTGTAGCTACCACCCAAGAAACAAAAATCATTAAAAAAAAAAAGCAAAAAAAACTGCTGTGTGTTGAAAGAGTTCCTGATGACACCTTCTGGAATAAATTGAGTATGTTTGTCTGCCTGCCTGCTGTCCAAGGTGCAGGTGGTATGCGAGAAAGAAAAAAGTATCCTGTCGTATAGATGCTAAAATAGAATTAGTCTGTCAGGTTGAAGCATCAATATTAATTTTGATGCTTTCATCTTGAGGGAGACTAATGCATGGGCTTTCTCACTAATCAGTAACTTGCATATGAGAGACGGCATGCCCAATATCTCATGAAAAGCTGATTTCATACATCTGTAAATAAAATAGATAAATATTCATCTTTATAAAGTTTGGCTTTAATACCATAGCCTTCATGTGAAGGCAAAGTTGGAAATTATTGAAGAGCAAGTATTTCCTCAAAGACGAAATCTGATTTGGGTTATCAAATGCAATGACAGTCCCGATGTCTTAGAGATATCATTTTGAAAGGCCCCCTCCCACACTCTTTCATTGCTAATGGTCATAAAATACATATAAAATCATATTGTGTCTGATCGACAATATTGAAGAGCCCATCTTCCTTACATGAATAAGTTCAAGATACGCAGGGTAAAACCTTTTCTCTAAAATATCTTGACCCCTTCTTTTTTTTTATGAATGTCCATAACTGGTAAAATATTGTACTCTAGCTACCTGATCTACTCAATTTGTATTCTGAAATCTTTCTTCTGAACATCAACCTTTCCCAAACTCATCCATTCTGTCTTCTTTTAATAAATTTCATTCCCCCAAAAGAATTCTCTATATTATTCTCCAACAGTATTTTGTAGAGACTTCTGCTACATGTACCTGTCTTTCACTCCCATGCAGACAGAGGAAATATAGGGATATTAGAGTCAGTTTATTGGTTCCTTTCACTACTTGGTGGCAGAAATGATGTATTAGTTTCTATCTTGTAATACATAGTACACTTTTTAGTACTGGGAAAGCATGGAATGCTTTTCTCTAAAACTTGTGAGTGTTGTATTTCTATACGAAGTAGGAGTAGCTTTTAAAATGATCTTGGCTCTACCACACTTCTTGATTTCAATATCACAACAAAGAGTAGGTTAGGAAAAAAAATATGTTATAAGGAACATTTCAATTTTCCAGTAAGAATTAAATCCTGCAGAAAAGACAGTGTACATTCCACAAATGAACACAACCTATAAAAATGTCCCATATTCCTAAATAGCAAGAAACTTAAACCACACATGTAATACAATATATTGAAAAAATATTTTCAGGAAAGAAAATATCTTGACCTAACAAGACACCAACTCCAAAATTCTGAGTTATTTATACCCAATGTTTGGATATAATAAGACCATCAATAAAGTCATTCTTAGTCAACAAATGTTGCTAAAGTTTAAAGAACAGAGATTAAAATATGTTCTGCATGGGAAAATTTTGTTCAGCCTTCCTTATTTTTATATAGGAAATCAATTTGCATCACTGATAATATCATTCACATCAGACAACCCAAAGTTGTTAGGAGTTAATTTAGTTTTATGCTGAAGCAATTTGATACATGTTCTGATTTGTGATTTTCATTTTGTTTGTTAATGAAAAAAATTAATGAGCAATGTTACCGAAGTACAACTCATGAAAGCATCAGCACTATTAAAGAGCTCACCGCATACTGTACATTGCCATCACTGTCTAGTTGGACCTGGACCACGATGATGGAGATACCATCAGTCAAATAGCAGAAGCAAGAGTTCAGGGCACAGATGCCTTCACATACCTTTGCACTGATTCGTGTTTTTGTCCAGAATTGCCTTTGTGGATACAATTTTTCCATACCTGAAAAAGGAAAAAAAAAAGTCTATGTTATTTTGACTCAATGAAGATATTTAAAATACCTTAACGAATGTCAAGGCACACATAATTAAACATGAGTAAGCCAAGAGAATAAGTTCTTAACTTTCATTATACACTTGGATGATTTCCTTTCACCAGTCCCTCTTTGTAACTCAGGAATGCACTTCTCTAAGTGCCTAAGTACTGGGTAACACCTTCACAAATAGTGTATCAGGCTGTCAGAGGTGGCCAAAGGAGACTGCATGTGACTGAGGAAGGTAAACTGCAACCTATGGACTCTTGAGGGGACCTGGGTGCCCAGGCACCAGGCTGAAAGGAGTTTGCATCCTGTTCTGACCCTACTTACTGTTGTAACCTTGAGCAGTTTATCCCAACTACTCCAGGCCACAGTTTTATTTTTTCGGTAAAAATGTAAAGCTATGTATGTCAAACCTTCCAGCTCACTCAGCCTTCACCTCTTTGGAATTCAAGTATTTGGCTGTAGAGACAGTGCAATTGGTAGTAGTTAAAAGCAGCTACTGGGACAACAAACACCACAGCTCAATTGTCAATTCAGTCTGGATCTACTGGTTCTATAAGTCATGTGCACGCTGAGTCATTTCATCATCTACAATGATATAGGTACATTTACTAATAATGACTTTGATTATACATGTGCAATAATTGAAATCAATTTTAAATATATGTGGTGAGTATAATATTGTCTTCCTTTTAGGTTGTTGAGATGACTAACTGGGCTTTATCTGATGAGCTGAGGACAGAGGGTGATACAGAGGAAAGGTCACGAAATGTTACCTTTTCTCCCAATCATTCTCCATGGTAACTGTTATGTAATATCGTTCCTTGATGTTTTCTGAGGTACAGAAGAAGAAAAGGGAGGCTAACAATTCTGGCCCCAGTGACAGTTTAAAACATTATTAGACTCAAAACTTGCCAGTGAGAAATTTCTCAGCTAAGGTATTTGCTAAAAGATAATTTAGGTTTAGAATCTACACTTGTTAGTTTTAATGCTAGAAATCTTACTAACAATGTTTTGAACTCTACCTGCTCACACAAATACAAGATTAAGCTTTTCTCTTTGTTTAGTATTACCGACATGCCGATTGTTTCTCTGTGCTGTTCTACGAGTTTGCTGCTTCCACCTCTCTCACTTCACAATAAATAATGACAAGCAAAACTCATATCTCATCCCAAGAGTTTCTGTCTTAGGAGAATTATCAGTAAAATAATACTGTATTTGAACACTCTTTTCAGCAGAGAATGAATTAAGGATCATACCCATCAACTAGAGATAATGTTTACTAGGTTCAGGCTATTCAAGCAAATAAACATTTGCAAAATGTATGCAATAAATGGAAAAAAAGGAAACTTTTACTGAAACTACTTTCCACAAAAAGTAGCACAAATGCAGTCTATGACAGACAGAAACCAGAGAAAGAGAAATCAGTTACAATATTTAAACCTAACACACGTTGGGCATAGAAGTCTTTAAGATAAAAACCTTTCTTAATTGGTTTTTAAAGCTACTTTTTAAATTTTTATAGAAGTAACTTCAAAATTAAAATTTAGCTCTATCTTTTAAAGACTAAATTAAGAATTATTGTATTTTATAGCAAATTTTATTTGACAGTGGGGCTCTGGGCCAGTGGTGTACATATTGCCCCAATTTATGAATATTACAAAGATGTCCTGTACTTCATTAAATGCAGGACATGTAACACTGGTACCATTATTTTACAGTAAAAAAAAAAATCAAATCTTTCATATGGAAAGCATTTGTAAGTACTTTGGCTGGCAATTTTTTTTCTAAAAGAATAAATACATAGAACATTATTGCCCCGAGACTATGACAATGTTTCCAGAAATGAAGACCTTTCTCATACAGATGTATGCCATAAAAGCAAATTGTGCTACTTCTTGACCTCCCTATTTCTAATTACACTCAATGAGAGACTTTCCGATGGTACAGAAACACAAAACAATGGAACACAGCTTCCAAGTACCACATGCAGTATCCATTCTGACTAGAGTCACAGGAATTCCAAACTTTGCACAGTTACAATATTTTACACTAGCAATTATTTTGCAGAACTAAAACATGCTTTCAACAAGAGAAGGCAGTTAATGGAGGACTGGTCACAATTCATGTGTGAACACTCACGATGACAAACACGTACTCTCTGCATGCCTGGCACTGTATTCTGCGTGATCTGTGGTCAACAGTTCACATAGGTAAATAACGTTCAGGCTGTCTTTAATAGGTCCAGCCCAGTACAAACACAAAAATCATCAATATAATATACCTGAGGAGAATTATATTAAACCATTCTTCCTGATGCTTTGTCAAAGTATACTCATCTACTAGAATAAAAACTACTAGACAAACTCAATGTGCAATTTTTACACATTCTAAAAGGGAAAAAAAGGATTTTTGAGTTAAAAAGGAATCTTAAACATGTATTATTTCACTGACTTACTCTTCCCCTTTTTGGGACTTAGATCAAGACTTAAATATTTAACAAGTTTTTCTTCTATTCTACCACCCACAAAATGGAAAGCAAAATCAGACATTAGAGATACAGTGTGACCAAATTGCTGAGTGATGCCTGGAAATAAACACCGAACATTAGCCTCCTGGCTCCAGAAGCTTTCAGACAAATCCAATTCTCTTCTCCATCCTTCCATTTCCCGTAGTAGGAAGAGACAGACTGCTACCCACAACCAGCTTCCTTAGGGGTTTGAAATTCTTGGGGGCAAACGAATGGATTGCACGGTTTTGTACCATAATTCTTTCCACATGCGCCTTCTCCAGCTGATACAAGAAGACCCTAAGAGACCACTGCTAAGACACACTTCCACATTAAAAATCATGCAACTCTACCTACATACTTATCAAGAATGCAGAGTGCTTACTGAGATCTCTAAATACTGCCAGTTATCAAAAACATTTTTATATTCCAAGAGTATGTTTTAAAAGAGTAGGTGATCTACAGTAGCTTCTCATATAATGTTTGGAGTTTTCATAACTGAATTTTATAAATTCATCTGCTGTCTGTCATATCTTTATAATACATTTACCTTAGTTTGTCAATACAGGTTTTATATTCACTTTATAAAGAAATAACCAGCCCTTTACTAACATTTATCTTAGTTTTAAATGGCATCTGAGTCAAACTATATTTGTTGATACACTCGATTATTTCACATACAAGCCTAATTTAAACTAATGGCATCTTTATTTCCCAAAGTTGGAGAGAAAATAAGAGCTATTATGGATCTACTCTTCATGAATTATGAAGACATCAAATGGGCAAAATATATGAAGAATTTATTTTTAAACCCTTTGCTGAATCACTCACTGTGTATATTAATTCAAAAAATACAGGCAGAGACTGAAAATAGAGTCTCTGCAGTCAATTAACTCTCAGCGAACTCATTTTTCACACGCTTTCTATATTGATACCAGACTAGAAAAAGGTATCACATTTATTTAATGGATGAAACATTATCTTTTAAGCAAATGTGGTTGTTTGCCTACTTTTAGATAGCTCATTCATTCTTTGGTGTCTGGGGATGCTAATGGGACCTCGCGTGGGCTGTAGGAACCCAGTTGGAATGTGGTAGCTCTGATAGACTATTCCAGGAAGGGTTTCATCTACAAGTTCACAGCCACCAGTGTTCCAAAAGATTAGCTATTTCAGTCTGTAGACAAGTAGTCCAGGTAATGCATTATTGTATGGGCTCAAGTGTACCTTTCTCCCTAAATTAATATACTGAAATCTTCATCCATGGTACCTCATAATTCAAATGGAAGGGTCTTTGAGAAATAATTAAGGTTAAATGAAGTCATACTAGTCACTTAATCCTATATGACTGGTTTCCCTATATGAAGAGATAGGCACAAGGGGAAAACCTGAGAAGACACATGGAAAGTGTAGCCAGCTGCAAGCCATGGAAAGGGAACTCGGGAGAACCAACCCTGCCACTGTCTCAGGATCTCAGACTTTCAGTTTCCAGAAGTTTGAGAGAACAAATTTTTGTCAAGCGCCCCCGACAGTGGTATTTTTGGGGGCAGTCCTAGCAAACAATTTCAATAACCTCTTTTGCCAGGTATGCTGGCTTTGGGAAAGAGAAGTAAGAGGATCGATGGAAACCATTTCTCCTTTAAATACTTTGCTCAATGGTTTTGCAGTTGGTCCTTCCATGCCCTCACCTGAAACACTCAGCATCTTCTCATCCAGCCTTTGTGTGCCTTAACAGCGCTCTGGAAGTATCACACAGCACCCCACAATGGACAGCTGTGAATCCCTTACTTGGCCCTTGGCCTTGCAGTCTGTGCATCATTCCACTCACCCCTGCTGCCTCCACATAATTAAACTCTTACATCACAGCTCCACACCAAGCAAATGTTACAAGTCTATGTGAGAAGTCGCAATGTCTGTTTACATGATCTCTTGGGGCAAGCACCATACAAAGAACACAAAATCTGTATCTAGAAGGGAGAGTTGGGGAAGGGTTCTTAGCAAAGGAAAGGCTTGGAAAGGGACAATATTTTAACAATCAGAAGTATTTTACTGGGTGTGGTGCTGCTTGTGATTCCAGCCTGCTTGGAGGTTTAAGTAGGAAGTTTACAAGTTCAAGTTCAATTTGAGCAATTTAGAGACCTGGTGATACCTTGTCTCAAAGAAAAAAGTTAAAAAACACCAGAGATGTGGCTCCATGCAAAGGCTTTGTCCAATCCTCAGCACTACAGCAAAATTAATTAATAAACTCATTAATTAAAATGTTTTTTAGAAAAGATTTATTTGTCAAGACAATCTATTACTATTCAGAAAATTATTGTTTTCATGCTACAAATACATTCACCAACGCCTAGGAAGACATATAATGCTGCATTTCATTTTTGACTTGTGTTAAGGAAATAATTCTAAAACTGCTTTGTCTTGGAAGGCTTGTGAGCACAGACTGCTGAGCCGCATGCC